CTGTTCCCCTTCTGGGAATTTTCCCAGAAGAATAAAGACATCATACCACAGCGACAGATGTGCACCCATGTTTACAGCAGCACAATTTGTTATGGCTAACTCTTGGAAACAACCCAGATGCCTATCCACTGAGGAATGGACAAAAAAGTTGTGGTATTTCTATACAATGGAGTATTACTCAGCTATTAAGAAAGATAAACTCGAGGCTTTTGTAGGGAAATGGATGCAACTAGAGACCATACTCATCAGTGAAATAAATTGGACCCACATGTGTAAACATCATATGGTCTCTTTGGTGTATGAATCTGAAAGACTAGGTAAAACTCAAAACATACAATAGATGATAGGAAAGGGAAAGAAATTGCTCAAAGGAAGGAATGACTGGGATGAGGGAAAGAAGATAAAAGAAAGAAGGCAGGCAGAACATAAATAAATACATGAATAGCTGCGATGACTGTATTGCTGTTGTCTGATGGTGTGGTGAAATGAACAGTTAATGCTTACAATTTTTTATGTTCCGATTGACTTTGCATGCTTGTGTCTGGTGGTCTGAGCAACTTATTTGAAGGTAAGAATACGCAATGGAATTACAATGGTGAACTCCTACCATCTTGTCTAGCGAAACTCGGTATTATCTCTAATGTTTTATTGAAGAATTACTTTCTTATTCTCTTTAATGGTTTGAGCAATGTTTCATTCTTACATCTGATAATCTGAGCAATGTAGTTGAGGATAGTGATATGGAATGTAACAACCACAGTTGATTTGTATGAATTTGTCCTGAGACCCTGTATCACTGAATGTTCTTGCTTTGATTTGTTTGTTTGTGATACTGGTATGCTGCTACTGTTCTATTTTTTTGTTTGTTTGTATCTCATGTACTAGTCTCTTTTTAAAAAAAAAAATTAGTGTGAATAAAAATATACTCATCAAATTTCAAATCATATTGGTGTCCCACATTGTGATCATAACCCATGGCATTTATATCCAAATATGGACAAACAGCACATAGCCTAGAGAGCTCATAGGCTATTTAAAGAGACTGTTCCTTCTTCACTGTCCCTGAAAGCAGGTGTGCACGGCTACAGGGTGGGGCTTCTGCTTCCTTCTATTAGACAACACAAGCTTTCAACTGTTCTCTGCAGGAAACCATTTCTGTCACTCTTGTAGGCTTTTTACTGTCCAATCGTCCCCCAAAGCTACTCTTATTCTGGAAAGGTTATAACAAACCTACTTGAATATTACAGTTTGGGGCTGGGGGTTTAGCTCAGCAGCACAGTGCCTGCCTGGCAAGAGCGAGGTTTTGAGTTCGATTCCTGGTACCGGGAAAAAAAAAAAAAAAAAAACCAAAAAAAAAAGAAATGAATAGTACAGTTTATGGAACATTTACAGAAAATGAGCTAGCTGGGTGACTAGGATAAAACAGCTGAATTATTTGGTCAAAAATCTGGAAGGGCTCTGGTTACTACAATTCACTCAATCTTCATATACTATCATTTATTAATCTATGGAATCAACAGCAATATTTTGTGCGGCTGAGAGAATTCCTAGGACCATTTACTACATATTCCATTATTCTGTTAGTTGCAGTCCTTCCCAAACTCAAATTTTCGTAAGATTCCTTGAAGATTGGCAAAGGCGGCCTACGTGCTCTGCTGGCCCCCTCGGCCCCAGCCAGGCTCTCCATGTCCATGCGCCCCACACCCAGGCGTGACCTGCTCACTGCCATCCCCTCGGTGAGTCTGGAGGCACTGCTCATGCACCTTCTCACAGCTGGGCTTTGCTATGCCCTTCCTTCTACACAGAGCACTCCTTCTCCTCCTCAAAATCCTACTCTTTTGAAATACCAAGTCTTTCCTGTGAGTTCTGTGTCTCAATGTTCATCTTATATTCTCAATTAAACTAAAAATTTTCTGTAATCAGATAACTTTTAATACTAGGTATGTTGATCATAAAATAAGTATCTCATTGAGCTCTATTTGAAGATTTCACTTCTTATTTAACTGTAAATGTTGAGGACTGTGACTGAGTCCTGCAACTACTGAGTTTCATTCATTTCTATTCCATAAGGAAGTAAAGAAAGCCGAAGAATGCCTGTCTGTTTTCCACATGCTCTTGCTGAACACGCTCTTAACATAAACGCTGTGTCTGCTCCTGACAGGCGCAGCAGACACCAGCACTCCGCTCGGTTGAGGTGCTGTCAGTCTCAATTTCATTCCCAAGGGGATGGCTCAGTGGGCCTGTCCCTTCCTAGTTCAGACTAGTGTGAAAGTTCCGTCTGTTACAAGCAACTGTACTCAGCCCAGGGCTGACCAATGATGGGAGGAAATCTGTTGAACAGGCTTTTGGAAAAGGTTTCTTAATAGACAGAAAGACACAGTCGTTTTCCTTCTACCGGACACTGTTATGCTCACATTACAGTACCTTAGACAGCTACCTTGCTTACCAGCCAGCAGAAAACAAAAACAAAAACAAGCTCTTAAGAAGCTGAGCAGGAACCCTGAGACGGGGGGGTTCCTGCCACACGTGGTAACAAACGTTCCTATGGTTCAGACTGGCTGGGATGAGAGCTTCTTTTCCTTTCATCCCTAAAGCATCCCCACTGGAACAGTATCTCAGCAGCTTTCTCATGAACACTGTATAGGCAGAAATGTAAGTTTCTGGCTGATAAAGTTCCAAATGACAGTGAGGGGGTTTAACCAGAATTAACTCAGAAGGTGCCTGAGTGCTGCCTGCTCCTGCGTGCCCCTCCTTACACAGCCTGTGCTCACACCCAACTGGTACTCGCTGGACGGAGCAGGGTGAGTGCAGACCAGCTTTTCTTCCCCCTTCCTGCCAACACCATCATAACACAGTGCCGTCCTCTCTTCTTCCTCTCTCTCCACTGCCATTTCCTTGTGTGTGTGTGTGCGCGCCCACACGGTAGGGAATGGGGGGCTAAGAAGAAACTCCTAGATACAGAATTCAGGGGAAATGCTTCTCCACAAAATCAGTCTCTTGATTTGATGGTTCCACAGGAGTATGTGAAAGTATTTTTCTTGGATTATGCCTGCTAAATTGGAAAGGAGGCCTATTATTAACCCCCACTGTATAATTTAAAAGTCTACATTTTTATTCATCAGTTGAATTGTAAGGGGAAAAGCTGGGCATGGTGGCACATGTCTTAACCCCAGCACTCGGGAGGCTGAGCCAGGAGGACTGCTAGGAATTCCAGATCAGCCTGGGCTCCATAGTGAATTCAAGGCCAGCCTGAATCAGATAGTGAGACCCTATCTCAGAGAAAAAAAAAAAAAAGGGGGGGGGAGAGATTACTACTCAAACATATCAGGATGGAGGAGGGCCCCTGAGATTTTTCTTGGGACCTTCTGTCTGATTCTCCATGTCACTGATGTCCCTGCACAGATGCTCTCCCACAACCTTCCTCCCCAGTGTGAACTAAACAGAGGACAGTCAGGAACTGTGGTCCTAGGCAGAGGAGAGCAGTGGGAATGTACCGTACAGGAAACACGGACTTGGACACCTCAGATGAGAAAGTGCAACAGGCTGTGCAGAAACACTAATAATCTTAGTAGAAGTGTGCCAAGGTGGTGAATAGGATTAAAAGTTACATCATTCTTTCTGTAATTTCAGCTCTGTTAAACAACAACTTTAAGTCAATGAGTCTTTCATAGTCTTGTCTGTGTAGGGAACAGCTGCTCAACTTTTACTAGACAGCTGAAGCCAGAGTGTCTGCGAAAGTGGCAGAACCTGCTAATAGCTGCCAGCAGCTGCCCGAAGCTTGTCTCCACAGTGGAGCTGCGGAGCAGGACCCCAGGCACACCACAGCACAGGTGAGAGGGGGACCTGTCGCCTCTGAGCCCCCAGTGCCAGAAAACGTGCACAATGACACAGGCCTAAAAACAGAAACCATGGAAACACTGGCTTTTAGTGGTTTAGGAAAACAGAATTATTTCTGCAGTCAACTGCTGTTGGAGGAATATGGCAACTTTAGCTGGTCCCCTAGTAATGTCTTTTCTTCAAAAGAAGCTAAGCATTTTTTTTCTTTAAGTGAGGTTTTTCTCTAAACAATGCTTACAAAATAAAGGTTGAGTTTTAAAATTATAGCTTAACAGATACATAACATTTTCATGTAACATTATTTACTCCTAGTATTTAAAAAGTCCTCATTTACAACAGCAACTGTGTCTCGACAGATTCATACTGTAGGACAGTATCTTGAACTTGTCAAAACTATTGTGAAAAAAACCAGGGGGAAGTAAAGCAAATCTGAACCATTTAATGGATCGCTACTAACATTATTCAGCCATAAGGATGGAGAGCTCTTTTCCTTAGCAGAAAACAGTATCACCTCCAAGAACTGTGTGTGTGTATGTGTGTGAAGTAATACTTTAGTGGGCCTTAAAACAAAGACAACCTATCTACGTGAGCAGTCACTCATCTGTTCGTTTCACACATGGTGCAGCAGCAGTGTGGAGGAAAGGAGGAGGAAGTTTCATACAGTTTTCATGATTTTGTGGTGCTGGGCATGAGAACCAGGCCTTCATTTACACTAAGTACACGCTCTACCACTGAGCTACATCCCCAACCCTCATGCTTCTAAAAAGACTGTTTTTGTATATTTCCTACGCCATTTTATAAAAAAATTTTAATTTTGCTCCTCTGTATCTTACCTTCATCCCAATTGCCTAGACTTATTTGTATCCTATTACAATTATTAAAAATGATCACAAGGGGGGCTGGGGATTTAGCTCAGCAGTACAGCACCTGCCTGGCAAGCGGGAGGTCATGAGTTTGATTCCCGTTACCAGAAAAAAACAAAACAAAACAAAAAAATCACAAGTTTAAGTATGTAGAAGATACAGAGAAATAAATAAAACTACCAGATATTTCAGTATTTTCCAAAATGAATGTCAGGACACTTTTGTTTAACTGAAAAATAAATGACTGAATTATTTCCAAGTGGACCCACATGTTATGAAGTAGTTGGAAGAGAAGCCTACCTGTCAGAGGTGAAGGTGATCCAACTGGTGTTGATGGGTTTGATGGAAAACTACTGCTTGTATGGTCAGGAGAATAAATCTAACAGAAAACAAGAGACATACATGAGTCGATATGCCCTGAATGCAAAAACCTTAAGTGCAGCCACAGGGAGAAATTTTTATAATCTAAGACGTTCTTAACCCCAAGACCACAGTGAAAAGGTTTTTCATCAATTTAAGACAAATTTATTACATAAAGGTAAAAATAGTCTCACTTTTAAAACTAGAATAAAAAAGAATATTATTGTAGTTAGAAATAATTCAAGGTTTCTAACGGTTACTATGGAAAAACAAGAAGTGACTATAACAATAATAAGTCTGATAATTAATTTTTCAAGAATATGTCATCTAATTAAGTGATGTCTTTAAAACATTATCATCTCACAAAACTACTAACTACTTTTTGAAATGACTGGTACCAGCAAGGTCCTCGATTTGATCTGCACTACCAAAAGCAAACAAAATAAACAAACAAACTTAAAAATCCTTAAAAAACTTAAAAAGTCAACCAAAGAAAATGTTTTTGAAAATAGTTACCACTTACCTCTTATTTTAAAAGTTACCAGTTTGATCAACCACCTATTTGCGAATTTTAGTCCCAAATTATTGTACTGTAAAAAATTAAACTTCCTTTCTAAGGTCCTTTTCACCCTTGGAAAAAGTGAAACACAAAAACAAAACCCTGAAGTATTTTTAAAAATTGTCCACCAAAGGATCTGTGGGGGCTTTATTTACAAACAGATTTCCTTGAAGTGGGCAACATATCTGGAGGCACAAATTTTGGTATTTAAAAAAAATGTTGCTGTATTTGTACTGCCAAGTAAAAGGTGACAGAAATTCATTCAAGTTTACTTAATTAACCAGAAAATATTTTAAAAGTCTCTTTAACACAAGTATCAAAGGTCGCTAAAAGATCTTTTGTGGAACAACTCTATTCTTATAAAAAAAAACAAGTGAATCCTTTCTTTCTTTCTTTTTTTTTTTTTTTTTTTCCTTTTGAGACAGGGTCTCGCTATGCAGTTCAGGCTGGCTTTGAGCTCACTCTGTATCCCAGGCTGGTCTTAAACTCACAACGATCCTCCTGCCTCAGCCTTATGAGTGCTAAGTGCTGGAATTACAGGCGTGTGCCACCATGCCTGGCTTTTAAGTATTGGTTTTAAAGAAAGCATAATAATATTTTTCAACACCTGAAAAAGCCATTAGGACAGGTCCCTGTAAAAGAAATTCCACAAGTCACAATGAACATATGTAAAGGCTTTCATTTTAAAATTTTTCACTAATTCCAAATTTCAAATGGCAAAAAGTCTACTCTCCTCTGATGGGCACATTCATCTACTTCAAGTAAAATACATGGACTCATATCATGTTAATAAATTTTAATTGTAAGTAACTTTTAAGAATTTTAATAGCCAGGTCTGTAAGTTGCACAGTCAAATTAGAAGTCATTTTAGGAAAGGAAAGCTATGGGAAAGAATTCAAGAGACTTTGGAGCTAGGCATGGTGGTACACACCTGCAATCCTACTACTTGGGAGGCTAACTCAAGAGGACTGCTCTGAGTCCCAGGCCAGGCTGGGCTTCACAGAGAGTTCAAGGCCAGCTTAGACTACATAATGAGACCCTGTCTCGAAATATCTAAAAGAATTCAAGAGACTAGGAGTACTAATTAACAGAGAAGTGTATAAGATCAATATTATTGGTCTAAAAAGTTGTTACTTAGGGGTTGGGGGATAGCTCAGTAGTTCTATCCCTGGCACAATTGTTATCTGTAAAAAACTCATAGCCCGTATATGAAAATTAGCCATAGGTCACCTTTGGTTCCTAGTGACTCCTATGTACAAACTGCTTTATTTCAGTCATACAGGTAAGGTCACCAAACTTCAACAAAAACATGTCTCGACATACATCTTTACTATTGTACATCACTGCTTATGTTCAAAATTCAAATAACTGTACCTTTTATGAGCGAGGAATGCTCTTTTATAAAATACATCTGGAGTATAATACTGAGGGAAGGAAAGGGTGATTAACACTGGTGGTGGGCAGATGAATGAGAAGAGCTATAGTTCCACATAAACTATGATCATCATTAAACGCCATCTGTTAGGGTGAAAGCATCTGATTAACTGAGTTCCCTCTGTCATACCCTCCTGCTCTTGCTTTCTTCAGGATGCTTTATATTAACTGTTTAAATTTATTTGCTTCTTTATTACCTAACATTACCCTTTACGCTAGTAAATAAGAGCTTTAGAAGAGTAAGAACTTTGCCTTATTCATCGCTATAGCTTCAGATTCCAAATGGTAGGGCTCAGTACACACTTACAAGAATTAATCCTTGCTAGAATTCCCATCCGAATGACTCCTCAGTCTTTGGATGTGTTTACTGAGATTCCACCTCTCTTCCTCTCCCAGTTTTCTTACTATACACTTCCCCAGGACTCTAGTCTCAGTTTTCCATGTATCTCCGCGCTGTCTCTTGGCACTTGCCGTTTTTTGTAAAGTATCAGCCTTCACACCCCCATGAACGACTCTGAAAGTGACCTCCTTATCCTCACAGTGGTGGCCTCAGACTTCTCCATCTGGACAAACGCTTCTTTTGTGTCAGCCGAGAACTGCTAGACCCAAACTCCGCCTCACCAGCCTGGGCTTCCTCCCTTGCCCATCTCTGTGCTTCTACTCCACGTCGGCTTAACGGCTCTCCCTTTTCCTTCCCCAGTTCTTCTACTCTTCACTCTGTAGACAACAGCCCCCACAGCGTGGTTTCTGGGACAGGTGCACACCATCCCCTGCTGTGACGGAACTTTGAATTTCACTGTAACCCAGGGACGGACCATCTAGGTCCCCCACGTGTAACTGCCTGAGCCGCTGTCTCTGCACAGGGCTGTGAACAGTCGAGGTCCTATTTGCTACCAGCTAAAAAAGGACGATGTTTGACGCCTTTCACAATCTAGTCACGCAGTACTGTTCTGTTTATAATCCATCCCGTTATCCAAACAGTACTTTTCCTTTTTCTGAACACAGCCTGCCCTGCTTCCAAAATGTCTGTTTCTTCATTTCTCCCTCATGGAACTTTGTGTCACATCCAAGTCTGTTTAGCTCAAATGTCACTTCCTCACTTGCGTCTATCTTGTAATACAGAATCACTCAACCTTCTCCTTAGCCCTGTCTTCACATTGTGTCTCACAATCATTATTCGGTTATCTGTCTTATCTTCTTTCTTTCCCTGTGAACTCTTTGAGGGCAGGGACTTCACACAGTTAACACTAGATCCATCTTTGCCTGTCTCTGCCTTGTACAAGTATGTGCTCAATATTCCTTTTAAAACCTGAGTGACAAAACTGTACTTGAAATTTGCTAAAATATTTATTGATTACAAAAAAGCCCCTTTTTTGGTGGGAGGTGGGGGGCACTAGAGCTTGAACCTTTCACATGCTAGACACATGCTCTATGGCTGAGCTATATATCCCTAGGCCAAAATCAGGACTATTTAAACGGTGGTGTTTATCTTAGTATTTACATAATTGGGGGTCTCATTAATAGAAATATCAAAGAGGGGAAAGTTGTTATATAGGTAATTTTATTTCAATTCAGTTTTATCATATAAGATTTGAGAACCATTAGTGCGGTTACACTACTCTGGGGATGTATGTTAATGTACAGTAACTAGGCTGTCTATATCACCTCATTAGTTAAATATAGGCTTTTGAGGGTTGACCAACCCTTACTTTTCCTGGTAACTCTGCCCTTACAGTTATAGAATCCCTAAGCATGTCAAGAAATGGTGACAACTCCTTTTGTCAAAGAAGGAAAAGTTATACTTTAGAGTTATATAAGATCATTACCACTAAATGACTTACCAGAATGTTCTAATTCTATGTGTAACCAGGTGTAAACTTTTAAAAATCACTGTGCAAAAGGGAGGAGTACCAACACTGTATCAAGTACAAAAACATATTTCTGGTACTTTGTCTCAATTTGTACAATAAAAAGTCATTTTTTTCTGCTCACCAATCACATTTGCTGGTTCTACTTTACCATTTAAAGCGAGGACAGAAAGAAGTGTTTGCAATACGTTTTCTGAATGTATAGCCCAGCATTACCGGACTCTTTCTTATCCCTTTTACTTTCACAAAAGGAACGGTTATGTGGGAAGAGGAAGACCAATACAACATTAAAAAAGCATAACACAATCTTTTGGATCATCAATTATTTCACTAAACTTAATCTTTGTAAATTGATTGTTAGGAAATTACAAATAAATTATACTTATTCTGTAGAGATTGTTGTGTTACTCTAAGAAATTTTAAATACCAGACTTTATTTGAACATTAAAAGAACACTTTAAATAAAAAATACATTTCTTTTTGTATTTTCTGGCCTTAAAGAACTCTAACACTAGTGTTTGAGGGGAAAAAAAAGAAGTCAGTAACTTAAAAATGGGGGCGGGGTGACTTAGTTCTTACTTTGAACACAAAGTAAGAGTAAGAACTCATCAGGCAAGCAGCCCACGTCCCCTCCTGCTAAATGACCAATGATGAATGACTCCCAACACCTTCTGCCAGGCTTATGCAGTAATAGGCCTTATTTTACTGCAACAAATGAGGCTCCTCCTCCTATCAGTCATGGTCCATTCCAACCAGCAGGGTGCCAATAAGCCAGAGGCTAATGAAAAGGGCCTCAAACAAAAAAACGAAACAATGGAGACCTCCTAGGCCCAACCCTGGAACTGTGAGAGCAATTTTTTAAACACTACAGTGCACATTTCACTTAATCTTTATTATGTTAATGTTATTGAGTCTAAAGAACAAAGAAACTTATCTCATGAATTACTTTTAAATGTCAACTTCCATGAATTTTCTTTTGTTACAGACTGCCAACCATTTAACCATCCAGATAACACACACACACACACACACACACACACACACACACACTCTCTCTCTCTCTCTCTCTCTCTCTCTCTCCCCCCCCCTTGCTCTGAGGTAGAAATCAAAACATAAATTATCACAAAGAAGTCTGATATAATCAACAAAGTTAAACAGCCCCCTTGTTTGATCTCCTTTAAATTAAAGACTGAGTGTTTTGATATGGTATTAGGCACTGAAATAAACCAGATGTTTCTTCCTCTATAGAACTCTCCATGGGCACAATCTTAAAGGGTTATTGTCTGGCAAATGTTCAGGGAAACACATTAGAAATGGCACGAATACACAGCTTTTCCTTTCCTTCTATCTATCCTAGTTTATTATCTAAACTAATGCATAATCCACAGGGCTTTGGGAACTTTGTGTAAATACTTTCATGTACAATTCTCTTTCTTGCTATCCAGAGATTAAGACCACAATTATCCAGGCTTAAACCTAAAATAAAAGAACCTTTGCAAATGTATTATCTGGCCTTACATGTTTAATCACACAGTATTCTGTGTGCTCTTTAATACCTAAACTGTAGAACAAAGGTTGTAGCCTCTGATGTTTCACACATGAAAGACCTTCTAAGGCATATATCAGACAACTGGAGAACCAGAATTAACTTCTAATGATAATGCACACTGTTTTCCCACCTAAAGCTAAATGCTATATTCAAAATATCATGTTCTAAATAACTTAAAACTTCAAATATTCACGGCCAACATTTCCAAATATCTGTAACACTTAAAATTCTGATACATATATCAGATACTCAATGTAATCCTCATTAAGGTTCTTCTCATCTCTTCTAATCCTTCCTATCCCAAGATAATGTAATTTTTTTATTTTTTAGCACATGTAAAGCACTAAACACATATTTACGTGAATGTGAGTCTGTAATAGAAATTAAAGAAAGAATGGGTTTGGGAGGTGTCTGGATTGGGGGTGCTGGAGACAGATTGAGGGAAGGGATTTGAAATCTAAAGACTATGGCATGTAGTGATGGAGCAGATGGAATGCATCACCATCAGCTATGACAGAAATGATTTATGGAATGACCTAACTGCTCCTGCCTCCTAACAACACAGGATGACAGAGCTGAGTTTCCATGACAACCAAAGCCCACCCACTAACTAGATTAAACATTTCTTCCTTGGCTCCCAATCAGAGTGAATTTGGATTTTCTTCTCCACATGCCATCCTTCCTGGGCTAGTATGTGTTCAGAATATGGGAAGACACTCGAGGACGTAACGGGTAACAAAGAGCCTGGAGGCCACTGAGAGCACCACAGATTCTTGCCTGCCTATATGCCAAGGTACTTCACACAAGTTTTTCTCAAACAGATGACCTTGGAGGAAAAAGAAAACACCTGAATTGCACATTCAACTTTAAAAGCTGACCTAATAATACGAGTTCAAATGTTTTTTGTCCACTTACATGTGAAATTTTTGTTAGTGGACTCTTCTAGAATCAGGGGAAAGAACACTGCAAGCCAATCAAACCCCCAGCAGTCCCCAGCACTTAACAACATATGATAATAATTTTCTTCCTAAGTAGGCAGTTTTCCTCAGTAGGAGTAAGTTCAGAAAATAGTGAGACAATCCCCTTTGGCCCTTGTCTACACTTCTGCACGTCACATCACCGTGGCAGTGTGGGTCCAGGACAGGCACAGCTCAAACCAGTGAGGTCGAGGTTCTCCTGTACCGGAGTACTACCCTTACTAGCTTCGGGATTCTACTTCATCTTCCTGAGCTCAAGGTACTTAACCCTTTAAGCCTTAGCTCCTCATTTGTAACATACGGATAATAACGCCAACCTTATAGAGTTTTCCTGAGGATTAGCTCGAACAGGGCACATCAATACTTAGCACAGGGTCAAGCACCTAGAAAGTATTCAAATCATAGCTAATAATTTTTGTGGGTCTTGCTATGATCACCGCTATTATTATATATGTTCCAAGACTGAATTCACCAAACATTTACTGAGCTCCTCTTTGATGTGGGGCTCTACTACACAGCAAATGAATTTGACTTGATTTTATTTCTCAAGAAATTTGTATGTGGCTACAAGAAAAGGCCTATATGCACAAACAATATATAGAAGTTTTATCTTTAAACCTTTTAGTGGTAGGAGTTGTCTCCCAAAACAACTGTTTCAGGAGTTAAAATGTTAAAATGTTGCACTTTCGTCATGAACAGAAACTAGTATGCAACTCCTGGGACTTTTAGGGATGCTTCCGAATGGTCAGATTTGAAATCTTTAAAGGTCACTGACCAGTGCTCTCTCTTCTAATTGCAGAATTCCAAAAGAACAGATTTTAATTCTAACATTTCAAGAGTCAAGATATTAAAAAGCAACCACTGCTTTGTCACTAATGTTCTGATTGATTGATATAAACTAGCTGTTTAAGAAAATATTTAAAAAGAAAATGCTACAACATGATTCATTTTAGACTGAGTTCTTCAATGAGTCTGGCTTTTTAAAGTCTCATTCCCTAGTTCTGAATGACTCAACTGCAGTAGATTGCTTTTTCTTTTAAAAACTATACATAAGACATTTTCCACTTTGGAAAAGCTCTTAGGTATTTCATTCTCTGGATAAGAAGAGTGATTGTGTTGTCTCTCTTGGTACTACCTGATTTATTTTAATAAGTCAGTAAGTAAATACGTGTCTAAAACAAATACACAGACTTAATGATGGAGTTCAGCCATTTGTTCTTTAAATTTTAAAAAATCCACATTTCTTTCTTTCACCTGTATCTTAAAACAAAGACAGATACTTAAATTAAAGTCACTGGGCTGTTCCTGCAGGCGAGGGATGGGAAGATACTCTTATGAGTCGATTTCAGGGTGTGCACCAATGTCAACTGAGAACAGCTCTAAAAGAGTGCTAACATGAGCCATTTTAAGTGCACCCTTTAGGACAAAGTCTAACCACTGCCCCTAGCAGTGCAGACGACGCAGCAGAACACAGAAGTCAATACTCACAGACGCCAACGCCTTTCCAAGTGCATCACCTGTCTGCGAGCTTCCAGCAGCATTCCCTCTGGTTCCTGGATATTTCAAAGAGGAAAACGAGTCAAGAACTGCAGCAGGAAAGGGTACATTCTCAGCAAGTTGCCATTATTCTAAGGATGGTCACTACTGCTACCACTGGCTTGTCATAGCAAACTAGGAAATACTCTGTATGTGTTATACTTCACAAGTTGAAGCTGCATTTCTTCTTAGTTTTTATACTAACAAAAATTAAAAGCTTCTTCTCCTTTTTTGGTTTTTGGAGATAGGGTCTCGCTACATGGTTCAGGCTGGCCCTGAGCTCACCACGTAGCCCAGGCTGGCCTCCATCACCTAGTGATCTTCCTACCTCAGCCTCCCAAGTGCTGAGATTCCAGGTGTGCGCCACCATGCCTAGCTCTTCATTTTTAAACTGAATACTAAAAATATAATGAAAGATAAGGGGTTCACTGAAAATCTCTCAAATAGGTTTCAGAAAGTTTTGTAAACCAAAAGGCTCACCCAGAATGCTGTCTGATCCATTGACAGGAGGAGTGTGGGAGGTGGCAACGTACGGGGAGCTGCTGGTGCCGCCACGGTGGAAGCTGGACATTGGGGGAAGACTTGTGCTCATGTCTGTTGGCGAGACTGAGTGAGGAGGGTAACTCTAGAAAAGGGGACAGAGGCATACTCTGTTAAATGTATCTCTGACTCATACGTGTACGTGTATATGCGGGAGAACTACTGTAACAGGTCCAAAAGAGCATTACAAGTTAGCAGCTAAAGACTGCTACTACTGTCATTTACTTTTGGTAAGGGGAGTAAGCCTAGAAATACTTCCAACTTCAGAAATTTTGGGAGAATCAAGTTTCCTACTTGGAATACCGAAGGAAACACATGTGAGAGCGAAGTATGGCTGCACCTCGCCACATGTGATTGCCTACCAAGCGGTCATGGGAGTGAAGGCTGCCGTAACTACTGGACTGAGACATGTGGGAAGTAGAGGTCCCCAGAATCCCACCAAAACCAGGCTGGCTCATCCCATTTGATGAACTCCAAAGGTCAGAAGAATTGTGGGTCCCATCTAAGATAAAAAGAGAAAAAGAAAATTTTTCTTAGCTAATTTTTGTATTTTGATGATGCTTATAAAAATTCAAAAGGTACCCTCCAGATTTTTTTCCTCTTTCTTCCAATTTAATCTCCTACCCAGTTTTCTTCTCTCCCAACTGTAAAATTTCTATGTAAAAGGAAAGAATAGGCTTTACAGAAAGAAATGTAATTCAAACTATAACAGGTAGGTCAGTCTAAAAATCCTCAGATGACGTAAATTCTACTAAAGCAAGATAATGAAAATCTTGAATTTGAGGATTGGTTGGATTTAATTTTTGGTTTAATGGCATACCCACAAATATACCAAAGGAGTTCTTAATCTCTTGCAGGTAAAGTACATTCTATTGAACGTTTTGAAGCTGTAGAATAAAGAAGGCTCTTAATATTAAGCCTAAGTAATTTATAATAACAACATTATGGTCAGCCTTCAAATGAAATATGTCCATAGTGACTTCACTACAATGTAAAGTCAAGAAACCATATATGTAATAACTTATTGCTCCCATATCATATGCTTCTCATAATTCCAAACCATAGGAGACTATAATCTGCTAGTCATGTATTACAGGAAATGCAACACTTCTTCTGACAAGTCTGACTCTGTTCTATGATATTCACTCTTTGTTTATATTGGTAATTCTAGGTGTGATATGCATCTGTAATTTAAATGGGAAACCAGTGTTGTTAATAGCCTTTATACTTTTAAATTCTAAAACAAGCCAGAACAACTTTACTTACTCCTCAATTTAAGTTCCTTATAAATTCAATCAGTACTTGACAGGCACGCCAGTGGTTTGCTTGATAACCCAATTAATTCACAGTAAGCAGAAAACAGCAGTAGAAAACTATACAGCTAAATTTTAAGTTATCTCAGCCCCCAAATACCTAGATAATGTATAGATACCTGTGCAGTGATTTTCTTTCCTCACATTTTAAAATATGGGCTAATACATACATGACTGCAGTCATATGTGGCAGCTCTCTGGCAGTACTTACCTTGCATAAAGAAAGTGCTAGCAAACATACTGGTCGGTGGCTTAGGAGATGGGTAACTAGGAGATTCACGGTTGAAATCATCTGAATTTGGGGATGGTGCATATACCTTAAAATGAAACAGGACATTTAATTAAAGATAAAATGAGTATTATCGTATTTATATAAAGTGAGTCCTACATTCCAAAAAGTACCTAAAAAACCTATCTAATCCATACATATGAATACAAAGGATATTGCCTGAATCTGCATAAATAATGTCAAATTTGGTTATTAACTACATATTTCATTTTAGCTGATTACTAGGAAAAATATTCCAAATAGCCATGAAATTGTATCTTGGCATGAAATTACACCAGGTGGATAAATAAAGTCATTAAGTGTTCACTGGGATAACAAAGCACAAATCTCACATTGGATTATGATTAAAAATCTGACTAGGCCAGCTGGGTGTAGCGGTACAGGCCTATAATCCCAGTATTCAGGAGGCTGAGGTAGGAGGATTGTCATGAGTTCCAGGCCAGTGTGGGCTACATAGTGAGTTTAAAGGCAGCCTGAATTACATAGAAACGCTGTCTCAAAAAACAAAAACAAGAAAAAAAATAGAGTGGGCTAACAAATGTCCTTAGAATAGATAGTATGGGGGCTGGGGATTTAGCTCATCGGCAAAGCGCCTGCCTGGCAAGCGCAAGGTCGTGAGTTCAGTTCCCGGTACCGGAGAAAAACCAAAAAAAAAAAAAAAAAAGAATAGATAGTATGGTAAAATGTGGGATAATAAAATTCATTTTATCGATAAAATTCACAATATTTATCAAAGAAAATAAAAATGAATTAGATAAAAGGTTGCTATCTTTTGTTACTATTAAAAGGTAACTGAGAGGTGCAACACGATTATTCAGTAACTTCTTTAACTTAACAGCGTTACCAGATATATTAAAACCAAATTCTGCTGAGCAGTTTTAATTCTTTAAAGTGTGGGGCTACATTAAGAGAAATATAACAATTTGTTAAAACAGTATTAATGTCCTTTTGTAAACCTTTGCTTCAAATAAACTATGAACATTTTCAATTAGTAAATGATCAACATTTCCATTCTAAACTTAACAGGCACCAATGATCAAAACAATGATCAAACATAATCACACCATTCTTACAACTTCTAAAACCAAGAAGGAAAACAAATAACATTTAAAGTAAAGTAATGGGGGCTGGGGATTTAGCTCAGCGGCAAAGCGCCTGCCTGGCAAGCGCAAGGTCGTGAGTTCGGTTCCTGGTACCGGAGAAAAACCAAAAAAAAAAAAAAGTAAAGTAATGTATTGTCTGTAAAAGTAAACAAAGATTCAGGAATAAGAGAAAGAAAAGCTACTGTGAACGGTTTATAAAATAGTTTCTTTTGTTTTAGTAAAGGGTACATCCATTAAATTTCATTGCAAAATAAAAATTCTTAACTGTTCACTTAACTGGAGGAAGGTAACATTAAAATTATGGAAGCATGTGTAAAAAATTCATACTTTTGATTGTACAAACAAAATTTCTGCAATTACACACAGATATTGAAAACTGGTTACAACTCTGGATTTTGAATTGTGAAAAAGGATTTGTACTTTATAATCTTCCATGTAATTTGTGATTTTTTTTAATCTCAAGCATATACTTCTAAATACTATACGTAATAATAAAAAAGTACTCTAAGATTAAAATGGGAACTATTTTTATTGACATAAACTATCAATTCTATATTCATAAGCTATCTGTAAAGACCTCTGCAAATCACCCTAACCTTCCTGAGACTCAGCGTCCTCATGTAAGACGGTGCCAACAGAACTACACGTCTGAGGGTTGATGCAGGAGCAGAGGAGACAGTGATAAGATGTTCAGCACGCTGCCTTGGTACAAACTAAGCGTAAGAATGAGCTCATAGCATCATCTTTTGATTATCCAATAGGAGTAGTACTGTGGTTAAATATAGCCGTTAATCTTCAAATGCTGTCTCTTAAAGAGTTTTTCTGTGATAGGGCTTTATATATACACAACTTCTCCCAAATGAAAGGTTTAGAAACTTGTTTTTACTCTTCTTGCGAGGCTTAATAATTCTGGCACAGGTGTAACTTTTGAATGGATTGGCATTCAGGTTTGCTTCCTACTTTTCATATCCCAGATGCAAAAACATATATCTGTGGTACCTGAGAAGTCTGGGCCAATATAAGATACATTCCTACGAATTATCCAGAAGAACCCCAGATTGGGGATATGGCAGATAAAAGTTTGTTCATTATATATATGAAACATACTATTCTAGTTTAAAGCTATTTCATAAAAGATTATGCTAGAATTAAATAACTTCTAAATGTGTTGGAAATGCATTAGGCTGACAGGTAGGCAAAGTTTTCAAGAAAGAACTTAAAGACTATTTTCTTTTAATCAAGTTTTAGCTCTAATCTCAGCCACAACTGGATGTCCTTTGTCCTTTGTATACAGATTTTCCCAAACTAGACTGAAACTACACACAACGAAGAGTAAGTAAATCCACAGACTTAGCCAGAAAATACCAACGCAAATCAAATTCAAAAGACGGCATCCTAGCACACGCTTTTTATCACAAGTGTGTATTTACTATAAACATCACTCTTGTTTGCGAAGTATAAAATGTAAAATTCTTTAATTATATTAGGTCACAGACTGAAATATAAGTCGCACACTTGATAATTATGAAAAAACAGTTCTGATGGATTATTTCATGCAAAAAACCCTTATAATCTGATCCTTTAAATTTCTACATAATTTGTGATTTTACTTCTTTATCATTCATCCTATTCAGTTCACTGTATATTACATACGACTTATGCTCTTGAATTTTCGAATGTTTGCAATTACAAAAGAAAGTGAAGGAAGATACTCGACTTTACGGATTTACAAATTGTTGCTAAAGAAAAAATTTGATCACATAATAATTAATTGACAATTGTTAAGGATAGCAAGGACACCAAGATAAACCACACACAGCAGAAGACCCTTGTCTACTTTCTGGAAAATTTTGAAGATGTATGAAAAAAATAGGCCTGTGTTGGAAGTAAAGTTTATGTTTAAAGTCAGTCTTTATAAATAGGCTTTGAAAAAATGGAGTTTTAAAGGTTACCTCCTATAAATAAAAATGATAAAAACTCTAGTATTGTATCATTTATGTTCTAATACAAGTTCAAAATTTTCATCATAAAAAGATTTTCAAATACATGGTCTTATTCACAGAGGCCCGACAAATAGCATTTCTAACTCTACATTTAGTATCCTAACCAAAGCTTGCAAAAACACAGATGTAACTTTGTGAAGCAGCCGCCGTGCCAGTCTCTATTTTTCAGATCAAAGACTTCTTGCGGCAAAGAACAACTGATGTGGTCTCAAAGAGTTTATTAACTCCAGATGTAAGGAAATAGCGAGCCAATTCCACAAAAAGAGCAAGTCCCTTCCTAGTTACAATCAGTACTGGCCACAAATTAAAACCAGACTGCTTATGTCATCTGATCACCTGCACACTGATGCTAGGGTTTTTTTTCTTCTAGTTAATGATCTAATCATACATTTTAATTTCAAGGATGATTTTGTATCACAGCAAACAATCTTAAAATTAAGAGAAAGAAGTATGTATGCTTTAAGATGATTAAAATCTATCAGGAGCCAAACTATTTTAAAAAGAACAGAAAAAAGTACAATTAAGTACTTTAAGATGTTTTATTAAACTGTGGTAGACAGAAATTTTCTTTATAATTCTAGTCTACATTTCAGAAAGCCAGGTTCCTGGCAGCTGTAATGTGACCATCTATTTTTCTTAAGCATTTTATTTCCCTTGAAGAATGGTAGTAAGAGAAGATGTGAGTATCTGATGAAGAGATAATCCTAACCTAAAAGAATGAAAATCTGATACCTCGGTTTTATCACCACTAAGTCCAGCTGAAAAGAACAAACTCATCAATACCTTCAACGTCCTCATCTCACCCACCTCAAAGTGACTTTTAAAAATAGGACAGCATAATTTAAGGATGAATATTTGCAGTTACTCTTAATAGCCACTACACAATGATCTTGGGAATGTTTCAGCTCATACAAACAAGGGCAAGACCAACCTTAAGAACTCTAAGCAGAGAACTGAATTTGGAGTCACCCATATGTCTAAACTGAATGAAGGAATCATCCAAGCAGGACAGAGGGAGTCTGTCTTTGTGGAATTTTCTTTAATTGGTCCTGATTTCAATGCATTCTTCCTGTGATTGATACTGAAACTATCCCTGTGGGGTAGGAAAGCATAGTGACTTCCTGATAATGACTGAGGAAAGGTACAAAGAAGTAGAAGCTTTGGATAAAAAGAGATAAACAGATCAGTCTTTGTAATGGCTGATATTTTTAAATGACCCAAACGATTAGCAGACAGGTATTTTCTCGTAACTGTATGTTCTCATCCATGGAACTTTCCACAGAACAGAAGATGAATGATCAAGGTAAGCGGACCCACTCATGGAAATCTCTGTACCACTCCTGTACCACAACAAACTCATCACACGGCCACTGAAACATCCAAAATGTGGATAGTACATCTGAGGAATGGAATTTTTAATTTGTTTTATTAAACAGCCGTATGTGACTAATAGTTACTATAGTGAACACTGATTTACATCATTCTCACTTATTTAGCAGTTAATGATCATATATATTATTCTGAAATAAATATTCTAAATTCTTATAAACTCTGAGGTCTATGAAACTAGCCTAAATTCTCAAACATTTTGGGAACACTGTCACCTAATTTTGGATGAAGAAATATTGAAAAGCGTATCTATTTTTCTGAACATGCTCCAAAACAGAACTAATTACCAAGATTTCATTATGTTTGGACTTTTGTTAGCCCTTTTTCACAAGATGATCTGAATACCTCTCTTTAAATTCCATTATGTTCAAAATCATTATATACTTTAATATGTGCTAATATGGACCTTCAATACATGAAAGTTCTATCCTAATAACAGAAATTACCTTCAGTACAATTTCCATTCATTTACCATAGTAAAATAAAATTATTTGGTCAATTTACCTTACCATCATAATTTTTAAATGAAAATT